AATAAATTTTGTCATGATGTAAGGGAAAATCTTACATGCAAGTAGATAACACTTATAATTGATAAGAAATCTCCAACATTTCTTATTGGGTGTATACTGCATGTATACTACTTTCTGAAAGATTGTAGTAATRTAGTATAGACTATTGAAAAAAACAAGTGAAATTTGATTTAGATCTGTGATATATGCCTGTAAATCACCTGCCTCAAAATTTTTTATTTCACTATTATTTTTAATAAAATATGATCTATGCAAGAATGTTTTAATTTATTTGGTGTTCTAGTATATACGTTGATAAAAGATTTAAAATCATATAACGACATCATATTTAAATAATTATTATCAATCGAGTTTATGCAAACTATATTTATATTCCCTAATAATACCATAATGTCATTATAATTATTTTCATCTGTTAGGATATTATGTAACATGGTAAAAAATTAAACACGACCTATAGGCTATAGGTAATTCYGTTTATAGATTTAAGATAAGCGATTGGAACACAATTAAACACGACCACCCTCACTGAACTTGAAATGATAACTGAAAGTTATCCAAAAATTTCCAAAAAGTACATAAATTATTTTTAAATGTTATTTCTTTCTATGCGCCCTTTTTCAGGCAGTCAAAAATTTCAAAATTATGAAGTCATGTCTATTTGTTGATAGTTGAGTGTAAAGAGATATTTCTTCATTTCGTCAGTAATTTTCTTAAATTAAAATAGTACAAACTTTAAAATGTWTTGRAAAAACTTCAGCTACTGTAAGTTTAAATAATTAATAAACACCACTCAGAATCATATATTGAAGACAATTATAAATTATTACTTTCAAATTTAAAATAATGAAACATCACTATCAGATGTTGAGGTGATTGAAGTGTAACAAATCCCTTACAGTAATTTTTTGTATTGGATTTCTTTTTTATTTTATTATATCCTACTAGAAATCTAATAATTGAATATGTATTTGTTCCTATTGTAAGAAGTAAAATTTAAATTTAATAACTCCTGCAAATAATAATTTGTACTTCAATATTTAAAACACTATTTTAGATAAGTTTTTTTTAAATTTAAATTGAATCATCTATTTTATTTATGTAAAAAGTAAAATATCATGCTTTATGTCTTGAGAACAATGGTTTTATTTTTTCAAATATTAATATTTTTTTTTACATTACTATATAAAAAAAATGTATAAAGATCATATGGTAAATTATTTTTAACTTATGTACCTATTTTTATTATTATTATTATTATTAAAATTATAGGTACAAAAAGAAGATGTTGAAAAAATTGATGCTCATGTTGAGACAACACATGAAAACGTAATTCAAGCTGAACAGTCATTACGTAAAGCAGCCAAATTGAAGAAAATGTCTTATCCACTTATTGGAGCTGTAGTTGGGTCTTGTGTTGGAGGTCCATTAGGATGTTTGGCTGGTGCTAAAGTTGGAGTATTTGCCACTGTTACTTGCTTTGTACTAGGTAATATATATAATTATAACTTAAATTCAATAATTTCCAAAGTTATTTTTATTTTGTTTGTTTTCTAGGATTCACAGGTGGTAAAGTACTTAAGGACAAATCTAATGCTGTGGAAGAAACGGAAAACTCAACTAACAATTTAGTTAATCAACCAGTAAAATCACATACAGAATGAACACTATTTTAATTAAGAATTCTAACAGAATGAGATTTAAAAAAAAGGAAAGGTTGACAACTTGTTATTCAACTTTTATATTTTATATACTTAATATTTTTGTAATTTAAGTTTTTATATGTTATATTTTATTAAATCATATTTGTCTAAAAGTAAATATAATAAAAATATAATWATTTAAATTATATACTAAAATGTTGATACATATTTATAGGTAAAACGTGTTGCTTATAATAAATTGAATATATTTATTGTTTCTAATTTTAATTGATACATACAATTTAATAGAAACAACATATAAATATAATCAAAATTTAAGTTCAGTTGGTCAGGAATATATAATAATAATAAAAAAAATGTGATAAACAAAATATTTAAAATTATTTACTGACTAAAATACACAGATTAGGTACCACAAAAATAAATAGTAAGGGTCACATTGTAAATTACAACATATATTATATATAGTATATACAATAAAAATCACATAATTTAATTTTTATTATTCCAGTCAAAAATATAATATTATATGTATAGACCTAATTTGATATTGTGACCAATTAGTTAATATAATACAAAAATGAATATCCTTTGAATCATTATAAAATTATTTATTGCATTTACAATTTTGATAAATACAGTACATTGCAGTTAATGAATGTGTGTATAGTTATCATAAAAAATAAATGGGAATTGTTTCAAAAAAACAGATGGAAATTGTTTACTTGTATCTATATACATTTTTATGAAGCAAACAGCGAAGTTATCTAGCCCATTCAGGTGAGCTACTAAGTAATTTTTACTGTACACACTAATATCAGATACAAATCAATTACCAATTTTAAACACACAAATCAAGTAAACATATTTTACACTACTCTATAAATCTTAAATTAAAAATTTGTTGTGTTATTTTATACTTAAATCAAAATGTGAAGGAATTTTATATGGGGCAATATTGTGTTGTCATTTATACAAATTAAAAAGGCTYATGAAATGTTAAGTATAAAAATGAATGCATTATTATTCATATAACTCCAAAACAATAAATACAATAAAAATATAAATTTAACATATTCAATAGCACCCAATGTTAATCATGAAAATTACTTGTATCAAATAATGTACACTTATGAGTTATGACCAACAGTGTTTAATAGACAGATACATTTTTTTTTAAACTCATGCGTCAAAATAGATTAGTCGTTGTGCATGTAATTTAACTATTACTGCAAARAGAACAAAGGAACCACAACAGAACCTATAAAGAGGAACATATTTATTACAAATAAAGTGATCTAGCAAACCAAATGATTGAAAA